TTCCATTTTACGCTTTCTTCATCGTTGTAGCATCGTATAACCATGGAATATGTTAAAATTTACAAGGACTTCACAAAATTAACAAATTACAAAACATGATCTAACTGTTGTGATGTTCAACAGTGAAAGGTAAAGTAAGCTTACCAGTTTCTTTACATCATCCAACCAATGATCGTGGTGCCTTTTTATTCTCGGTCTTATTGAGTTGCAGTACTTCTAGGTTCCCTCCTCATTATCAAATACAAGAAATGTCCTATGAAATGGATCACCTATGAGGTCATGCCATACTGAATTCATTAGGAACAGGAGGTATCTGTATAGATCCTTGCTTTCCTCTATTTTTTTTGTCGATCTAGCTTTTACGATAACTTACTTCAAAGTAATTCGTTTTCATAATTGAGAAATGCAATATGTTCATTAAACTATAGTATATTTAATTTATTTTCTTACCCAACATAGATTGTTGAAGAAACAAAATATTCTAATTCTTGGATTTTTATCCTTTGTTTATCGTTGTTTTCATATAATAACTATCTTGTTCTTGTTGTAGAATCTCCGCCCAGCAATTGATGAACTTAGAATATTAACAGTGAAAATAAAAATATTAGGATATATACAGGACAATAAATTATGTTAGTTTGATTCCATCATCTTTATGTATTCCATCACCATTATGTTTCTTTGTCAAAATAGTGAATTATTTACTCACATTGTTTGAAATATGCGCTTCATTTGCCAAGTGAAGATGTCTTCATACCCAATTTATCTTCCAATTTCTTATCCATTACAAATACATTAGTTGGTGTAAAATTATTAGTCAATATCAATTATAAATTTACAAAATTTTCAGTGAAGCATAAATTTTGATTTTCACTTACAATTTTTCTTTTGTCAACTTTATGAGCACAAATTTTTCATAATCAACACTTTTAAGAAATCTGTGAACCGGTAGTTTCAAACTAAGTTCAATGTCCCTTTCTGTCTTGTCCAAATTTTTATTAGTATTTAGAATCTCATCTCATTTATAATTTAAGAATCTTCCTTTTCTAGGATCTCTTTTCTTTTTTGTTGCCACAATGAAGTATCTTTTACAATCTTTGGTTTAGGATGCTTTCTTGTTGAGTATTGGAAATCTGAGGCCATGTTTGGTTTAGTTTTCGGAAACTGTTTTTTGTTCTCAAAATTTCGAAAACACCTAAAATCTGTTTGTTTAGCATTTTTGTTCTCTAAATTTTGAGAAAAAAATGAGATTTAAGTCAAACAAACAGAAAACAAGTGTAACTTATTTTCAGAGTTTTTTTTAAAAATTTTGGAAATAAGAAAAACAATTGTGAATGTTCAGATATGGGTATATATATATAAATTGGTATATATATTTATACGTATATATTTATATATATACGAATATATATAAGTGTATATATATATAATATGTATATATATATATATATATATATATATATATAACATATTTATAAATATATTATATAACATTTATAAATATATTATATATAATATAATATATATATTTATACAATATATATAATAAGATATATATAAGTATATATCTAAGATATATATATATAAATACGTATAATTATATATATATTATGAAATTGTCAATATAAAAATAATTTTTTATTAATGTTTGAATTACTGTTCAAATATATATTTAGGCTGTTCAAACAAGCTTTACTATTTTCTGTATTGTAAAATTATTTTTGAAATCATCTAACCAAACAAGTTTTTTATCTAAAAAAATATTAAAACTACTTTCTTAAAACTCTTTTCAAAAACTGCTTTTTAAAATGTAAACCAAACAGGCCCTGAATCTTTTTTTTCTCTTTCTTTGTTTCTGCATTATTTTTCTCACAATAGATGTCTGCATTGGTGCCATTGTACCACCAGTATCCTTTTTGTTCTCCTCGGATAACTTTGTGTCACTGATCATGCAACCATGTAATCCACTTGATCTAAGAGAGATTTGTTCTAGTCCGACCTTTTTTTAACAGTGTTTGACATTTCCCCTAGAATTACTTCATGTGATTTTTTCTATTGAAGGTTCATTTATGATTGAAATTAAATGTGAAAACCATTTTTTGATTGTTCCATGACGGTACTATATATTTTAGGCAAATAGTCTTTTTATAGTCTCATCATTACATAATCTTGTTCCTTTTTTGAGTATATTTCAAAAAAATAGATCTCATGTCAAGAGTCTCAATACTATTTATAAACTCATTGAGCTCGTTTGGTTGCCGTATTAGTAATTGATGAATTAGATAGAGTAATCCAATCTAATACAATACGAAATGACAAAATACAAGATTAAATAAGGTATTAGAATAATCCGTAATTTTATCTAGTGTTTGACAATACACAACATAAACGTTGGATAAAAGTTATTTAATCCAATCGATTGTTTAGTTAGGAATTTATTTCATCGTATTAATATTGAATTAACAAAAATATCCTCAATCAATGTTTGTTACATTGATGACAATCCAATTTAATCAATTAAGGGGTTATAATAGTAAATGTGTAGAATAATACGTTTGAGCTGGATTATAATACCACAATTTTTAGTGGTATTAAGATACCTCTATAATATAGGCCTATCGTACAAAAAAATAATATACGATAAGTGTACGTTTTTGAAATTAATACAATATCAAATTTGCTTACCAAACAAAATATTAGGCCCCATTAAATAAAAAATAGTACCATACAATATTTAATCTCCTTATAATATGTCTACCAAACGAGCCCATTTTTTGTTGTTGTTATGTTATTGTTTATTATTATAAATTCAATAAGAGCTCGTTTGGTAGACGTATTATGAAGGAATTAAATATTGAATTGTACTATTTTTTATTTAATTGAGTCTAATATTTTATTTGGTAAGAAAATTTTAAACCGTATTAATTTTAAAAACACATACTAATCGAATACTTATCGTATATTTTTTATACAATAGGTCTGTATTATTGATATATTTTAATACCACCAAGAAAAATGATATTATAATCCAGTTCAAATGTATTATTCTATACATTTACTACTATAACTCCCTAACTGATAAAATCAATTTGTCATCAATGTAACAAGGAAAATGCTATTTGGACTTAAAAATCTGACATAATTTGCTGACCTAATGATGTGGTTTCATTGGAATCATTGGATTAACACAAAGTTTTAATGTTTGATGGAGCCCACAATCAATCAATCCAAAAGTCATAGTGAATTATGTCAGCAAATTAAGTCAGTAAATTAGATACCAATAGCATTGCTCATGTAACAAACACTGATTGAACATATTTTTGTTAATTTAACATTAATAAGATGAAATAATTTCCTAACTAAACAACCGATTGGATTAAATAACTATTATCCAGTTTATGTTGTATATTGTCAAACACTAAATAAAATTATGTATTATTTTAATACCTTATTTAATTTGTCTTTTGTCATTCCTTATTGTAATAGATTGGATTTCTCTATCTAATTCATCCATTTCTAATACAACATATAAACGAGCCCTAAATGTACAATTCATCATATACAAGTTTTCTTAACGTGGACAAGTATATCCTTGTTTGTATCATTTGCCAAAAAAATTGACCAATTGAGTTAACTCAATCTTTTTAGCATCTCTTTCAACAAAATAACCCACTGATTCAATAATCTCTATTTATTTTAGATGTAAATTTGGGTTACGCATTTAGATTACGTACCATTGCTTCTTATAAAAAGAGATCCATACAGAACCTTTCCCCATGTCCTCGTCACCGTTCGCTTCTTTATCTCTTCCGTCTCTAGTTACTTTCTGTCTAGGTTTTCCTTACTAGTTTGGAAGTCGAAATCCTACCGACTCAGTTCATCTGTCGCATTTAGTTACAAGGAGGAGCAGAAAAAGACCAAATACATAACATCTCTCGTTGAATAGGTTTGTCCCTCTTCTTTTCGTCATTAATTGCAGAAAATTGATAAAGATTGTATATAGTTTCGCAATAGATTGTTGTTTTATACAGAATGAAAACTTGTTACTCTGTTCCGGGAAGCCGTTCAATTCTTGTCTACACCTGGATTGAGTTTTGGTCATTTTTTTATGGCATAGTATTCCGCTTTCTCACATTATCAAATGAAGCACAGGATAATTTAGCTAGTAGTAGCAGCTCTACCGAGATACAGATCTCGGAGAACAGAAAATTCCCACGGAAGCTAACAGGCTTTTTAAAGGCATTGGAGAAAGCTGCTGCTCCGGCCGGGTCTTCACAAGCAGCTTAATGGTTGTCATCAGTTTCAGTATTCATTCTCGTTCTTGTTATGTGCAACTTCGAGAATGATTGAGTTTAGTTTTCAATTCAGATTGCAGTATCAGATCCTAAGAGCAATTGCCTCAAAAGATGGCATTCTTCTGTGAATACTAAAATGGAAGTTGTCTCATTTCCGTTTTGGAGAAGAAAGTAATTTTGATTATCCTGCAAACAAAATGGTTTTTTATTTTTTTTTATTTTTATATGTTGTCTTATTTTCACGTGGGATTTGTTTCATATGTTAGTCCTTTATTCAGTTAACATGTTTTCCATGACATTTGGTTAATTTAAGGCCATGACAATGGAATAAAATAAAAAAGACTGATATGTACCCAATATCGAGAGATAATTTTGAACAAGATTCAGGTATATAAGTAGGAAATAGTGTGATGATCTACTAGGACAATTGAAATATAAAAAAAATAATTAAATAAAGAAAAGAAAAGCATCTCAATGCAAGCAAATCAGAGAAGTTTGAAGACCAGAGCCAATCATCAAAAACAAATTTATAATTATTAAATTCAGGAAAATAACACATACTAAAGTCAAAAAAACTCAATTCAACGAATTCTGTTCCGGATCGACTACATGAGAAATCAACCCTCTAGAAATCAACCCATAATCACTACCCATACTAACTTGTTAAATTAGCATTCAGAGCACAACCATCCATAACAACGGAGTTCAACAACCGGAATACCTATCACAACCCATCATCCATTCGTTTCTATACATGAATCCACCATGTCCATAAAAACAACTCATCATCCTGTCATCATCGATGGGTCCAAGTCCAACACAACCCTCGAGGACAGTAGAGTCTAGAAAACCACAATAATTATCACAACCCATCATACTGTTGTTGCTTTCCATGAGACCACGATGTCCATGGAAACTTGTTAAATTGGCATCAGGAGCACAACCCTGAAGAACAATGGAATCTAGCAAACCAGAAAAGCTATCAAAACCCATCATACAGCCACGGCTTTCCATGAGATCATCATGTCCATGCAAACTTGCTAAATTAGCATCAAGAGCATCATTCTCAAGAATAATAGAATTTAGCATACCAGAATAACTTCTAGTACCCATCATCCAGTCTTGGTTTGGACCTTTCTTCTCACCTTGATTTTCTTGTTTCTTCATGTCTTGCAAAACCAGAGTCTCTTCTTCTCTGTTTATCACCTTATTCTGATTAGTCATCGTCAAGAAGCGTATTCGTTCCTCCACATCCAACTTTACCTGATCAATCCGGGATAGTAATTCTTGCCGTTCATCTACTCCAACCCCCATTCCAATATTCACAAAATCTATAGTCGTAGCACCATAAATTGTGTTATGTTCTTCACCTTTTTCCGCTTTCTTGGAGGAACCCACATGTGATTCTTCACTTTCTTTCAGTTTCTTGCGCAAATCAATCTTGAATTCTTCACTATCTTGAACTTTCTTTTGCAAACCCACATTCAATCTTTCACATTCTTGCGCTTTCTTGGACGAACGAGACGAACAACCATTGCAATGTTTTATAGTGGCCAAGTTTTTCTTGTATTTCTGAATCAGTGAGAGGCAAGCCTTTGGGTCCTCAGGCCATGTGTAGCAGCACGAAGACGACGAAGTATCATCTCCATCATAGCAAACAAGGAATGCATCGATGTCACACAGTATACTGAGTTCTTTGATCTTCTTTGATAAACCCTCTAATCTTTTCGTACCTTTCGCTTTCTTGAACATGAATCTCTTCACACTTGTACCCATCTTCTCTCTCATTCCTTTTCTGTTTCTTGAAGATTTAGTTGTGTAAATATAGACACCCTGGCCGCCTGTAGAAAAAGCATGTGATTTAGGCCCACACAAAAAGATCCGAAATTTTAAAGTTGAATAATTAACTATAGATAAAAATTAAAACTAATTAGTTTAACAAAAAAAATTCAAAAAGATTAAGTCAAAATAAAATTTAGAATTTAGGTTTAAAAGTGAAGTCCACCTCTTAAATATATATTGCACATACATATTTATTAAATGACAAAAAAAAGGTTAACACTTTAATGAAAAATATAATAAGTATCTTTCTCTTTCACAAATAAAAATAAATCAAACATATTTTTTAATTATCTCAAATTCGATTTTGTTCGCATTTAAATACAAAAACACAAACTAATTAAATTGTTTATTCTCATAAAGAATTTACAATAAAAAATAATTAATATAAAAAAAATTGATAAAGTCATTATTAAAGAAAATAAAATACAACAAAACAATAGGTGAACGTTACATATATAAACAAGTTAAAAAAAATTAAAAAATAATAAAATAATTCAATAACAAGATAACAAAATATTATGAATATATACTGATAGTCGATAATCTTATACTACAATTTTCATGAAGAGTATACAAAACACATAAGAAGAACATAAAATCAAATATTATGTTGCGTAAGTGCGGTTCAAGCAAGAGATGAGAGAGATAAACAGATGTGTGGATTTGTTTCCTAAAAAATATGTACTTAGTCATGATGATCTATATATTTTTACAATTTCTATAGATTTTACTATTGAACAATTGCACTCATATAGTATGAGCATGAAATAACACATATCTAATGTTTATTATTTATTAAATGCCTAAATTACTAAAAATAAAAATTATGTGACACCATGTTGTAACATTAAACATCTTTACTATGATAGTACCCCTCGTAACTGTTCACACATTATTTTTGACAAATTTTAAAAATGCATAAAAGATGGAGTAACACATATTATCTTTAATCCTTACGTGTCATTAATTAATTAATTTGTCTAACTTAATCAATTCTACAAACGAAGACTCGATAATGAGGTCCAAATAATGAGATAATGAGATTCACAAATACTTCAATCATTTGAATGAGAGGAGACATAACAGGCCTAACCATTAAAATAGTCTCCTAGGACCTTAATTTAATTTTCAGCTCTTAGGTCAACTTCATGTTCTGAGACCGTTTTGAATAAACCAAGTTAAAAGTCCAATATATTTCAAAAGTTTATTTAAAACTTTATAGAAAATTTTAAAATGTAATAATATTTTTTACAAAATCTTCGAAAAAAAAACTAAAAGTAATAATTTTTAACTTTAAAAGTAGCAATCTATCTCAAATTCTTTTTCACTATTTTTGCCTGTACTCTCACCACCTATTTCCAACTTTTTCTCTCCCTTAAATCTCATTGCCCTTATCTCTAACTCTCCTGTTGTCTTTTTAAGATTTCATTCAATTTATTAATCTATAAGATTTTTACTTTATAATTACACCCAATTTATTATTTGATACCGTCCAATCTCAAAAGCACTAAAATATTAAAAATAAATTATATCGCAACTCTCTGTAAAATATCTAATAATAGTTAAAAAAATTATTATCTTTTTAAAATATTAAATGAACTCTTATGTAAAATTTTCACTTTAGGCCTCAATTTGCGTTGGGCCACCATTCCTATCTGATTACGCAGATATAGAGAGTGTAACGCCCCAAAAATCACTTTGGACGACATTACAATTTAAAATCATTTATATAATGAGAGTAACTAATCAAATCCATCAATAAATAAAAATATATTCATCATATATAATATTTACAACATCATCCCCAAAGAATATGCCCAATTATGACAATTACATCAAAAAGAATCAAGTTTAACTTGCAGCGGAATAAAAAAAATATTAGACTCCACCGAGTCTCAAAAGGAATTTCCTAGTCTAGCACATAGGAGAGTATAGTCCTAAGCATCCACCTCGGGATCCACGTGTCCGTCTAGTAGAGCTTTCCAATGCACCTGCTCATCGACTCCGATCTCCTCATCTAGACCACAATCTGAAAAGTATATTGTTTGTAGGGGGTGAGCACTAAGCTCTGTAGCAACATCCTCCCAAATTCAAACAAAGTTTAGAAAACATGTAAAACAAGTCTGTCTCATTTCGTAAATATCATATATTAATTTTTGAAAGAAAACAGAAACATTTCAATAGATCTCAAGTTTACACAATAACAATAAATTAAGTGAAGTAATAACTCCAAATTACAAATAACAAATAATTTCCAACCATAAACCATTTCCTACAAGTTCTTGTAAAATCCCATACTTTCACAAGCTCTTGTAAAAATTCGTTCTGGTACAATAAATCATAAACCTACAACTTGTATTCGTATCTCAGGTATGATGCATGATTCGGATGAATAAACACATCGAGAATATCCTGGCCTACACACACACACCCAAATCCTCGCAAGGATATCTAACATTTAGGAAGGGCGTATACCAACTCATGACAGTGACGAATTCAACCCAGGAATAATATACTATCCCTTTCCCTCGGTACCTATGAGCAAATATTGGTTTGATCCTCGCAAGGCACCAACCCCACTACAAGTGATAGAGAACCTTTAAACCTACACGAAGTAAGAAACGTATCTAACCCACTCTATGATATCCAGTCAACGGCCATCGATGATCATCCAAACATCCACAAGAGATATAATTCTCAACAATTTCTCAAATGACAATCAAATCCAAAGGCCCCAAATTTTACATCCAAATCCCCATTTACTTTTCCCCAATGGAAACAATTTAAGAAAAATGAGTAAGAGATCCTCAAATATATAATCTTTAGTATTTAATCAAGCACTAGAGTTTTGAAATCAAGAGTAATTGAATCATTAAGAAGAAAATCTATTTTTCTCAAAAACTAGGGTTTTCATGGTTATCAAATCATAAATACCTTCAAAACATGGTGATATTTGTAAGAACTTCAAGAAACAAGTATTTCATAGCATATATCTAAGGTTTAGAAGCAAAACATACATATATATTGTAAGACCCTGTACTAAAATTAAATAAGAATACTAATATCTTAAGAGTTTTTCAAATATGAATAAAATGAGGATAAAAACTTAGAATCATTGTTGAAATATTAATCATGAAGTTTGAGTTTCGAACGGATTGACTTTTGAGTCAAATTTAATTAAAATTTTTTTTTTTGGATGTGTTTAAGATTGATAAGGGTAACTAAATAAATATATTAATTTTTTTTTATCAAAATAACATTACCATTGAATTCGGGAGGTCGGAAAACATTGAGAGAGGTAATATGAGATGTATTAGAAGTTAGGAAGTATTTTAGAAGTAAAACCAAATTGGAGTGAAATTGGGTAAAAAGGGGTGATGGACACTACTTAGTATTTTGATCATAACTTTATATTTTTAAGTCCAATTGATCTGAAAGTTTGACAGGAAATAGTAGACATCTAGGGCTACAAAAGTGTATTTCATGAAAAATTTCCAATTCGACCTCTAAATGGGTCAAAAATGACCTGGAAGTCGCACCAAATATCTATGAACAGTACGAAGGAAACCCGATTTTTTCTGAACAGAAAATATCGGATTTTGCTCGATTTTCTTGCTCTATAAAAACCTAATGTCGTCCCTTTAGCATTCATTTCACCCCTCCAAACCCTAGGAACCATTTTAGAGGAAGAGAGGAAGATAGAAATACCAATCAAGAGGGATTTATACATTGTAGAAATCAAAACTTCAAATTCTTCAAGAATACATTCTCCTCCCATTTTCTTCCATTCTTGCTACCCTCTCACCCAAATCTTTTGAAACCCTAGGAGGAGAAGATTAATAGGAAAAGAAATGAGAGAAAGAAGGTCTTGAAGCTTGGGTCTTAGCTTGGAATCTTGATTTAAGGTAGGGGATTTTCTCTCAATCTCTCACATTGAGGCTAGATATATATATATATATATATATATATATAGATATATATATGTATATAGATATATGTTTCTTCACTCTTCTTCTCATATATATAATATGAAATACATGATTCTTGTTCTATTTGTAATAAATGCCATGTTTTGAACAATATGAAGGGTGGGTAACCACCAAAGCTCTATTAATTTTTTTTTTATCTTCAAAGCCCTAGTTTTCAAGAAAAGGGGATTTTCTCCTAATTTCTTCTTTGTCTTTGATTTTAAAACTTTAGTGTTGAATATTGTATAACACAATGATATAGATTACGATCTCTTGCATATTTTCTTGGATTATTCGATTATATGACAAATGTGAAAACAAAATTGGGGATTTTACTATATTTGGGAAATTGTTGTGAATTGTGAATATTCTTGATTTCCTTATTGTATGGTTGTTGTGATGGACTTGGATTACCTTCGAGAGATGCCGTAGAGTGTTAGAGGTTAGTCTATCCCAATGGGGGGTGAGATGGTTGCCTAATGCTCGTAGTGGATCGTTGTTGTGCTCGCGATCATTATTGTTCACATATACACCGAGGAAAAGGGTTAGTATACTAGACACCTTGGGAGGATTTCGTCAATGCCGTAGGAGACGGTACACGCCTTTCCTAAAGAGATTTGTGATTGTTGGTTGGAATTGGTGGACTAGGCATGATCGTTAGGTAGATTCACGAGAAGCAATCAACATACATGGTACGGGGATGAACCAAAAATACATGGAATCGGGAGTTGGATCGTTCTTGCCAATGCATTGGTATGAGACAATGCTTAGGGAGAAGCCCTTCTTAAATAACTTAAATTAGAATTTTTGTTTATCGATGCTAAACTCACTTTATTCTTTTAACTGATTATTGCTATTGTTTAAACTTGAGATCTCTTTTAAAATGTCACTGTTTTCATTCCAAACCTATATATATGTTAGTTGTGAAATGAGACCGACCGTTTGCTATGTTTTTCAAACCTTGTT